GTCTTCCATTCAACCGAGATTTTCAGTAAAACGATACACTATACCGATTTTCAACAAGTACCTTTTTTATGTAGAATTATCCACGGAGTCTAAACATGAATCCCAAATGATTATTAGGTCATTGGCGTAGAAGTTGGGGTAAAAAAATCCCGCTTTACTTCCCATTGTTTACGGTCATTTAGAATATTTGTTTGATTTTTGTACTAGTCCCCACTGAAAATTGTTGCCACTAAGTACGTTTTATTATTCAATATTCTTTTAAACCGCCATATTTCACTTGAATACACTAAAAGTTCACAAAAAATATTAATAAAATAAGCTTAAAGTAGGTACTTACGAGAAAAACACCGCCCTTGAGAATAAATTGACACAAATACATCAATATGTTAACATTATGTTGCCCATAGATTGAAGGGCATGCGATGAAGGCATGTTTGATTCAATCACCATATTTACAATATACTACGATGGTTTTTCGTGGTTTTTACAACCTCATGGAACACTCCATATATCCATAATTGTTCTCATGTTTATTAACCTCCTCAATCAACCCGGAAAATAAATAGGTGACAAATATTATTGACTCGATGGCAATCAATCTACTCCTCGCAGGCATCGAGTGATTGGCTGTCGGACAAATCTGTCAGTTTATACAAAAGTTACACGGCACGCTAATATTTACGCCAGAAATAAATGTATTCGCGTGGCATGAACGGCAAAAAGTGACCCAGTTCTTTTTAGGGAAGGAAAATATGTGGGAACACGCCAAGTCCCTCCAGAATGTATGCGCTTGAATTTTAAGTAAAGCTGTAGAGAGCCAATGATTCGCTTTCGAAAAAACGACGTTATTAATAACCGAAAACGTTGCGAGCTTTGTTTTTATAATCGTTCGTAATCAATCAGCCGAACCGATCTGCAGTTCGAGGAGAAAAGTGGCAGTTACAGATCATAACAAAATTTACATACCCTCGCAAACGTTTCTTCATTTGATCGTTTGCCAAATGTTTTCTTATAGACCACCTACATAAACGAAAACTACTTTGCAAATACGAAAACAAATGCATGAAAATTATCGAGCTGTTGGTCGAAAATGGAATTCAAAACATCGTTAGATTTCACTTCCAAGTTATGAAACCATCCCTGTCTTTACAATTTCGGCCATTATATTTTATTTAGACATTATTTTTATAAAAATGGAAGTTACAAAGTGCGATTATGTTCTGATGTGATGAAAACTTGCGATTCTCTGTCAACGGTACGAGCTATAAAGTGGAAAGTTTCTCACAACTTGTAAAAATAACTTCCTGTTCCTTAAGTACGACGATAAAAATTGGTCAACTCTCGAAGGCACATTAAGGGACACTTATTGGAAAACTTTTTTATATTCAATATCTAATGAATTTTATGTATAAACTGAAACGAACAACATATATCGCAACTTTTTTAATATCATTTAGGTGCATTGTGTAATTTAATTACGTTTAAATATAGGTACTTCAAATATATCAAATTTTAAGAATAGAAATTAAGACCCCGTTTCATCTAAAAAAGTAATCGTGGAAATGTTTTTACACAAAATACGTCTGTAATCAAACTAATACAGGAATATTGGGAATTTGTATGACTACGAGGACGAACTAATCACCCTATGCACGTGTAAGAGCATACGGCTACGTTATATTTAGAAGGCTAAGCATATGATAAAACATGTGTAACTTTATAAGAAAGTAAGAATGTAATACAAGCCCATATCGCTTTATATTTTTTCATAGTCCATGTTTAGCAATCCATGCACCGATAATCTTTGAGCTTTGAGTATTTATTGCCTTTTAAAATGTAAAATAAAAATAAAGTAATACTAAAACATTTGAAAATAATGATGTAATAATTTAATAATATCGTACCTAATTTTTTTATTACAAATAAAGTGTAAATTTATGCTGCTCTCTAGTCTGACATAAACTCCTTCAGTAAGGGCATACCTATATTATTTTATCTGCTCCCACTATAGTAAACTGACTATCAATACATTGTTTTTAAGGAGGTAAGCGGATTTACCGTAGAAGTGGATGTTGCTATGGACAATAGGCAATAAAGTGATTTCGAGTTATAAATGCATATTTTATGAACAAATAAATAGAAATATTTGATGAACATTTTATTAATTATTATGAATGAATATTTATGGTAATTGTACAGTTATTACATTTAGCAACATTTATAAAATCTGGATAATTATCCCCCTCGCGTTTACTAATTGTCACATTTTTCTCAAAATGATTTGACCGCTCCATTTCAGTCTCCGGAGGCTCAATATTATCTGACTGATCCATTAAAACAGCATGATGCGACGTACTACTAGAACCTGGAGTTGAAGTGTCATTGTAAAGAATCCTGTTCGCTATTTCAATTTTGTTACTTAAACTGTCAGCAACATAACTTTCTGTAATTGTGGCTGATTTCCACCCATCATGTCTCTTGATTGCTAATACATCAACTCCTGTATTAGCCAATAAGGTTGCCGATGTTCTTCGGAATGAATGGCCTGTATATGTTTCAGGATGTTCTAGTTTCAAAAAGTGTGTAATCTGATTAGGAATCATAGCAAGGGTATTCCTGCCGACTGATTGGTTGTAACAACTACCTGCTTTATAACGCATAAAAAAGCGTGAAACTTCAGTTTTAATTTCCAATCCAATCTGATATATTTCTTGAGAATTTCTAGGTGAGAAACAGAACCCAGACGAAAAGTCATTGTAAACGTACGTGACATACCATTTTCAGAATTTGAAATTGTAACTACACTGTCATCGAAATTTTTGAAATTGACGTTGTCCAAAGTAAGTTTGCATAACTCATCAGAACGGCATACTCCTCCAATACCGTCACTACCTTCATTAGCAAATATATGTTATCGGGTGCCTGAACGAGACCATCGTTGACTTGTTCTCTTGTAAAAACGTTTGACTTTTTAGGTGTATAGCCGTCATTCTTACGTTTCAAAAATGCTCTCAGTTTGGGGTATTTTGATGTATCCACGTACTCCTCTATGAAAATAGTTGACTTAATCATTGAGTATTCACTCCACAAACTCACCGGTGACTTTAAAGTTCTTGATTTCTCCATGAAATATGCTAGCAGTGACATTTCAGAAACACCAGTATTTGTAGCGCACTTTCGACTTCTCGGGCAATAAAAATTCGCAGGCAAAATTGCAACTTTTATGTAGCTTTGTTTATAAATACCTTAGAAACAACGAAATCCAAACAACCAAGGCGACTTTGCAAGATTTCGAATGTCAAAATGAATTGATGAAGACATGTCAAAAAATACAGCCTAATCTTTATTTCATGAACCATAAAGAACTGTGGAATCAGATAAAATGTTATACACAACGCAGCAGTTAAATATAATTTCCAGTCTCGGACTCTATTGCCAGCCCTCGCTCCGCTCGGGCGCAAAATCGTCCTCGACTGATAAATAATACTTACCTCCTTTATGGTGTAAGTAACTATTAGTTAGATAGCTATACAATGATCGTTACTACCTGTTGTAAGGAAAAAATGTTAAAATTTAAAAAGGAATGTTGGTAAATCCTGAACAACTTTTTTTCATTGTGGCAATGATTACATAATGTTTAGGAATAATAAACGTGTTCCTATAATTCTTTAAAAATAGTTTAATCGCTCATTCATAAGCTAATTTTTACTGGTACGACACCTGTTTCAAATCAACTGACCTAAATATCCAACGATTTCAGAAGATGAATGAAAATATCTTGTTTTTCTCGAATCCAATATAACTTATTAAATACTGAAGTATTGAAAAGAATACGAAACATGGCGCTTTGATCAGTATATTTATTAGAAGGCAACGAAATAAAAATTAACCTACTTCAGTAATTATGTAAAAAAAAACAATCATATGTTTTGAAAGATGCAAAAATTGCACATATTTATGAATAATTAATTACTCATTACATATTCGGTTAATTCATTTCATTTTTACTTTATTATTGTTATATGTGCTTTGCAAAATAAAAATCTTACAATTTCTTTCCACTGTTGTAAAAAGGTACATTGGAATAAAAATATGTCTATTTTCCGTTCCTGGCAAAGTCTTTCCGAAGTCAGTTGAACATGCAAGAAAACGTCTGGTAATAAAATTTAATGAGTTTCATAGGCGTCCCTAAAAAAATTTTCTGCTAAAGGTAAAAAATTATAATAATTTGTATATAATGTGTAGAACATTTCTATTATATGTTCATTTGGCCAACAACATATTTTAATTATTTATGTCCTCAAACAATTTTATTATATTGGTGGTACATTTCGTTTTGTTCCGTTTCAAAAGGTCTCCAAAATGCCATGTTGTGATAATATTAGTAAACAAAATATCCCTCTTATTTCTCCCTTTCGCAATTGTAATATGAATGATTGATAGGTTCATATAATTACCTGAATCACACCAAATTCCGCATTGCTGCACTGCACTGCCGGGCAATTTATGAACCACTTGTCATCTGCTGTGATTTATTGCCCAGTAGCCCAATGCAACTGTGATCGTTTTCCTTTACCCGCGCTCGCATTCTTCAAATGAGCGCATACATTTCTATCACCTCCACGTTTAGTTCGACCAGACCTGTTTATGGGTACCTATGGCTAAATAAATATGGGAACAAGTTTTTCAAATATTTCAATGCCGAGTTACTGCATCAGCGACCGAACCTGATACATACTATCAATCTGTTGGTTCTTCAATTGATATCGGAAGGACTATAATATGAAATATAAACTTAGTTTCCAAGCTTAGAGAAAAGTTAATGTATCTAGTACCCGATAAAATTTCGTATGTATCTCCGAAAGTAAACGAGATACAAACAAACAGAGCCCACTTTCGAGTTTACCGCAATTGATTTACTGGTTTTCAAATAGTACTTCCGATCTGGATATTTCAGTTTGTCAAACGTTCAACAAACTACATCACTGTCTTTTTTTCAGCCGACAGAGCGGACGAGAAGCTTCACAGACGGACGACGGTCCGAATGGGCATCCGTGTTGTCCAGAGGGCGTTCGCGCCCCCCTCCCCCCACATGTACGTCCCTGGCGGGGGCGGCAGTACGTGCAAGGAGAGGGCCAAACAGAACATGAAAGCGCTCTTATCTGGCTGCAAAAGCGCGCCGTTGGAGGCCACGTTTACAAAGGGCGAACAAGGTATTTTAATGAATATTATTAGTTACGGCAGTAATTAGCATAATGGAGTGCCACATACACTGAGAAAAAAAGTTTAGATGCACTTAAATAGTAAATCTACATATACTGTTGCAAATGGATCATTACAATATATTCTACTTCTGTTAAATATATTGTTAACATTTTAAACATATTAGTGCATATTTGCTTTTAATAAAAATTTGTTAGTCTTTAAAATCCGTGGTTTGATAAACACAGACATTTTAATAAATCCCAACAAAACCCTCTAATAAACCCGTTTAAAGTTCTAATTAATAAATAAACTACTAGTAAAATATCTACTATAAACGTTTTTGACAAATCAAAGTAGATCTGCTATTAATACCTAAATTACAGTTTAAAATATTCATATACGCAATTTAATAAAGCCTTATAAAGCATGTTCTAATAAAAAAATATAAATACTACGAACAAATCAGCGTGTATTTGCTACGAATAACCAAATTTACTAACATTTAAAAATCTGCTATTAATAACAAATTTATTACAGTTTAAAATATTCATATAAGTATACAATTTAAAAACTTGTTCTAATAAAAAATATAAATACTATGAACTTTTCAGGTAAATCAGTATATTTGCTAGGATATAATAAATCCTAATAAATTATGTTCTCAATAAAAATAAATACTTTTAGTAAATGCACTGTAAACTTTTCAGGCAAATCACCGTATATCTGTTATGAATAACCAAATTTATTAACCTTTATTATAAAAAATTAATGGCCTAATAAATATATTTTAATAAATCCGAATAAACAAAAACAAAATACTTCTAGTAGTAAAGTAACTTATTTTTGTTAGTCTTAAAAATGCATGGCTTGATCAATATAGACGTTTCAATAAACCCTAATAATTTTTTTTTCAAATAAACAAATAATATACTTACTGTAAATATTTCAGTTACGTTAGCTGTTAATAACCAAATTAATTAATCTCTAATATACACGCTTTAATAAACCCGAACAAAAAAGTCCTAAAAAACAAATAAAATATTTCTAGTTTATGTACTCCAAACACGTTAGACAAATCGATGTAAATCTGTTAGTAATAACCAAATTTATTAGATTTTAAAATATCTACATCTTCATAACTACAGAATGAAATATATTCTAATAAAAAATAAAAACTTCTAGTAAATGTACTATGAACATCTCAGAGAAAGCAGAGTTTTGCTATAAATAACGGAACTTCTAGTAAATGTTTAGACAAAAATCAATACATTTTTGCTTTTGATAATTAAATTTATTAGTAAAAAATTCATAATCGGTAAATAAAGTCAGAATAAAACTTTTTCTAGTAAACAAATAAGAGATCTACTAGTAAATGTACACCTTTCTGACAAATTAGCATACATTTTCTACAAATAACTAAATTTATTCCATAGTATTCAAAAAATGTGTGGCTTAATAAAGTAGATGTTTTAATAAACCCGAAATATAAACATATTTATACTATAAATAAATCTTTTAGACAAATCAGCGTACATTTGCAGTTAATAAAAAACATTGTTTAAAGAATTCATGGCTTAATATACAGGGTGTCCCGGTACTTGATTCAAAAAAGAGTACAAATAGATGTGGTCAAAATAATATCAGTTCTTCATATAAATTTTTTCCATACGGGCCTTCGTTAACAAGTTACGGGCCCTCAAAATCTTATTTTTATTTACTGTCTCTAAACCATTAACTTCAGCATGATGTAAATTTGGTGATCGATAACACAGGTCAACAAGGGTCAAGAAGCAGACACACTAATATGCATTTCCGAAGGATTTTGGTGCGCTGAATCCGAATCTGGCCGCAGAATTGCTCTATCACGTCAGGTTTTTGAGTATCCCAACCTAAAAATGCAAAAAACACTGTTTTTGTCATATTTGAGTTTATGTAGTAATGCCATCTATTCTTTTTCAAAAAAAAAATACATATAATTTAAAAGTACAAGGCTCCCTCTTTCTTTTTTTTTCGTTGAGATATCACATGTTGACATTTCTAAGTTTATCAGTTTCTTAATATGCGAAAATCTACTAAGGATTCCTTAGACGTCAAACAGTTGATTGCAGTTCAGAAACTTCATACTCAGAAACCTTCAATACATACGAACTCAAACTCACAATCCGACAAAATCCGAACCTACAAACAAACCCACAAACCGTGTGGGTATGAAGTTTCTGAATTGCAATTAACTGCTTGATGTCTAAAGGATCCTTAGTAGATTTTCGCATATTAAGAAACTGAGAAACTTAAAAATTTCAACATGTGATATCTCAACGAAAAAAAAGACATTTGAGCAAACTCAACGGCATTCGAAGGAGGGAGCCTTGTACTTTTAGATTCAACGTATTAGTTTTTTGAAAAATAATAGATGGCATTACGACATAACCTCAAATACGACGAAAAACAGTGTTTTTTGCACTTTTAGGTTAGGATATCTCAAAAACCTGACGCGATAGAGCAATTCTGCTGCCAGATTCGGATTCAGTGCACCTTCGGAAATATATATTCAAGTTTCTGCTTCCAAAAAAAAGTTAAATTTTGTTGGTGTGTGTATAATACATTCGTATAGCTTGTTTTTAATGTTGTAAGTAAGAGCTTCATTATACCCAGAAGGCCAGGGACAGGCTATGCCCAATAGTTAACAAACCAGAATTTTTGCATAGATGACAATCGCAATCTGCCTGTATCAAAAATAAGTTTCCTAAACAATTTGCCAACGATAATCCTTTCTTGATTCAACTCGGTAAAACTAACAGTTTAAGAAATATTTGTGATTTTATGTCACATTGCACATCGAGCGGCGCCTCCACCATTATTTGTTTTTAATTTTTAATTGCACTTAATTACTAAAGAAGCATACATATTTTTAAAAGAAGAACCTAGAAAATCTTACTATCTGCTAATGTAATTTTCACTAACAAAATTTGACAAACATATTCTACACATATCGACATCCATCAGACGTTCCTCAAAAACCTATGGACCTATTAAATTATTAGCCATTTTCGTGTACAAAGAAATAACATTCTTAGACTTAGGATGTGTGTGGAGGTGGAAGGTGTCCATATTGAAAATGTATTTTGATAGTTTTCTTTCTTTTAAATTATTTTTTAACTTTAACTTATTCTTGAGTTGAACTAAGAGGGTATTATCTGGCAAATTCTTCAGGGAACTTATTTTTGATACAGGCAGATTGCGATCATCAGCTATGCAAAAATTCTGGGTTGTTAACCATTGGGCATAGTCCGTCCCTGGCGTTTTGCGCATATTGAAGTTTCAATTACAGCATCAAAAACAAGCTGTGCGCATGTGTTATCGATCACCAAATTTGCATCATGCCGAAGTTGATGGTTTTGAGACCGTAATTAAAAACTTTTTAATTTTCACATTTGAAGCCCCGTAACTTGTTAACGAAGACCCATATGAAAAAAATTTATATGAAGAACTGATATTATTTTGACCTCATCTATTTGTACTCGAATTTTTTTAATCAATTGCCGAGACACCCTGTATATGCCAAGACATTTTAATAAAGCCGAATTTCTAATTAAGAAATACGACACTTCTGTGTAGTTTGATGTCAATAACTCGATTTATTTGCCCCTAAAACACTTTCTATTATAGACAAAGTTCATTAAAAAAGATGACACCTTCGACAAAGAAATACACAATCGTACGTGTACGAAATAAATATAAACTTTTATTTGCTCCAGCAATATCGAGGTCTACGGAAATGATGCCTCAAGGATACACAAAACTTAATAACATAGGAGACAGTCCAGAAATCAAAATGAAGAACTGCCGATTGGCCGCCGACACAGCTATACAAAGTAAGTTTGAATCAAACATTTCCGTGGCCTCGCCACAAATAAAATAAAAAGGGACTGCTTTTAGCAGTTCTACACTGAAAGATATGTTTTATTAGAATACAAGCCCCTCCTAATTTGAGTCCAAATTAATTAATACAGTGTAGCAACAATGTTAAAATCAGTACCTGTCCTTTCAGACGGTACAACTCTTTCAGTGCCTGCGTTACACACTGAAGAAAAGCACAATCCACCGTCAAACGAAGACGCCAAATGTGGCACTCACGTCTCCTTTAAAGAACAATCGACAAACGACTCGAGGACGTCACTGGAAACGGTACGGGGTGCTCCTTTAGCGGAAGAAGAAAGCGAGTCTCCTGACGTCAGTGAAACACAGAACGAACCCTCAAAGGGTACTGTCGCGCGCGAAGATGAGAAGGTATCCACAGATGGCGATGTAAGATAACTTTAATTACACTGGCTGTATAAAGACAGTGGCGACAATAGAGGTCTCAGTGCCGTTATATGGCGAAGTGGTAGTAGAAGATTATTGTTTTGACACATCAGATCAGATTTTACTAATCTGAAAGATTTCTGACGTTTAACTGATTTAAGTAAAAAAATATTTTTGTAGTCAATGCGACATTATCGCGAAACAGTTATTTTATGGACTTTATATTCACAACTGTCAAAACATTGTTTTAATGAAATTTATTAAATATTGAAATCCAAACATCATTTTTAACGTTACATAGCGACAACAATCAAAAGGCTGTAACACCATTGTCGCCACTGTAACTTTAATATAACCAAGCGTCAATTATAATGAAAAACGTTGCACCAATGTATACCTTTCCCTACCTTAAACACTACTGTTATTCGTCTACAGGGTGGCACAAAAGTATGGAAACCCCTGAATAACTCGTCAGGAGTGCATTTTCTTGAAAAATGATAATTACAAAAGTTTTAGAATTTTTCCATGGATATTAAATGGCGCCCCTGTATTCGACCTTGACCTTGACCCTCGAGGTCACTTCAAGGTCAAAATAGTTTTTTCAAATGGGAACTCCTATTTTTTATTGCGGATTTGGAAAGAACAGGAAATTTTACATCCAAAATTGGTCTTGACCATGACTATGACAATGACCTTGTTCTTTCCAAATCCGCAATAAAAAATTGGGGTTCCTATTTAAAAAAACATAACTTGACCTTCAAATGACCTTGAAGGTCAAAGTCAAGGTCAAATCCAAGATCATCATCAGATATCCAGGGAAAAATTCTTACACTTTTGTCTGAAACATTTTTTCCCAAAATGCATTCTTCGAAAGTTCTGCCGGGACTTTTGGAAGTCGACCCACATTTGACCTTGAAGGTCATTGTCAAAGTCATGGTCAAAACCATATTTGGACGTAAAATTTCCTGCTCTTTCCAAATCCGCTATAAAAAATAGGGGTTCCCATTTGAAAAATAAATTTTGACCTTCAAATGACCTCGAAGGTCAACGTCAAGGTCGAATACAAGGGCGCCATTGAATAGCCAGGGAAAGATCCTAAAACTTTTGTATTTATCATTTTTCAAGAAAATGCACTACTGACGAGTTATTCAGGGGTTTCCATACTTTTATACCACCCTGTATAGTAAATGATATAATAATAAATTCAGGTACATTGTAGTTGTGGCCTATCATCGTCATTTAGTCGAAAAAGTTTTCTTCCATCAGAATCCTCACCGTTAATGAGGCAATTATACAGTGTGTAACTTTGAGTGGGTCATATTTTTACAGAGCCTTCTTTTGATCTTTAGAATCATGTTTCAATAGTTTATTTTTTCAAATTCCCTTGTAAAAAATATTTTTTTTAATCCTTTTTTTTCATAATTTTCTTACCCCGCCGCTGGATAAGCTAGTGTAACTAACAAACTACGGCGCGCTTTAGTCGCAGAACATGCACAATTGGGAACTGAGCTGAGCATTGTTGTCAAATCTTATATTTAAAGGGAAGCCTAATAAAAAGCAAATTACCACACCACTCGCCGTGAGGTTTGGCGCGTTACTTTTGTTGAATGGGTGTTTGCCACGAGCCCTAGCATCCCGCAAGAAAGTTTAATTAAATTAGATAAACTATGAAACAGTATTTAATAAGTAACCTAGCAGGAAACTCAAGCAGTAATGAATAATGATAAATGAAATACACAAAAATAAATAAATAATCTGTTTACTTACCTGATTTTTATAACATAACACTTAAGATTTTGCGGTAAATCTTCGAGTACTAGTACCAGGACAAACATTTCCTTATACGGTACTTAGAAGTCGGCGTAATCAAATTGATATCGTTTTCTTTGCTGCTGACAAAAAGTAGGCTTTAACCATATCAACTCTTTCTTGATTCGTATACATGCTTTTTCATAATGTACAAAAACTTAAAACACAAACTACACTGTATCGTCACTGAATACTGAAATAAATAACTTTATAAGATTATACTCCTACACCACATAAAGGCTCTTTTTGTACAATCTTCTCCAAACCGATAAAGTAGAAGACTAAATAAATATGTAACCAAACAGTGCTGTTTTCGGCCATTTCTATTTTACATCACGTGCGAGGACAGTCGGCTTATCCGCCTTCAAAGGCATACCGCAACAGAACAGCGGTTTTTTAGTGTTTCCGTTCACATTAACATAAAAAAATATGGTGACTTTAAAATAACAAGTCGTTGTAATATTAAATGAATCTGTTTTCACAAATATATTTTTGATTAGTTTTGTTGTCTAACAGTTCTGAGTACCAATATTAGTTCATATTTAATAAATCATGTAAAAATTTGTTTTCTCTTAGAAAATATAGAAGTTTTGTTTTTAATGTTCAGCGCTGCGATCACAATGATATCAAAAAATATGGTGACTTTAACAAACAAACAAATGCAATCTATATTACTAAATTAATTTTCATGGGCACAGCCCAAAATGTAGATTGGTTTAAAAACAACTGGCAAAGTTGATTGTGCACTAATACGATTTCATTCACAAATTCCGGGTACCCTGGATTACACAAGAATTAAAGTGTGTTTAAAAAAACTAATAAAAACTAATTATAACACGGCTTTTGATTAAAAAATAATTCATTTAAAATTTGTGTTTAGGGGAAACCGTACTGTTACCCCTAAAAAGCTGACCCCCACTTAAAGTTACACCCTGTATATTATGTCTTGCCTACCTAATTATCTGTAAGTGAATTTTTATTTTTACCGATTCCGTACATTTTTTCCAAGTATAAAATCTCACAATAAAGAAGCACATAATTTGGAAAAGGACGATGTTGATACGTAATAAGAAAAATTTCAGAAGTCTTTTATGTTTTGGTATAATTAAAAAAAGTATATTGGGCCACGTTCCAAATGAGGAGAAAATCCGATAGAAAAACGGAAAAATGCCAATAACAATTGGCGGCAAAAAATATAGCCTTAGTTTGGAACAACAACCGCAGCGATAAAAAACTACATATTGCTTTTCTTTAATGAGACCAATATTTCAGGCAACATACTGAAAGAAAATCATTAATAAGTCCAGAACAAAAACGAAACTTCAGTAAAGTAAAGCTTTTTTAACTTAAAATTAGTTTGTACCGTGTGTCCAAAATTTATTACCTTAATTATTATGAGAGGTAAAAGCCTAAATTTCGAAAAATGTTTAGCAATGTCTTAGCTATTAATTGTTTATGAAATATTCAAAATAAGCTGAAATGTGGTATCTTTTACAATTTTAAAAACTCTTTTTGTTCTTGCTATGTTCTTCAAAGTTGAGGCATTTTTGTAAACAGGAAAGAACTCGTAAAACAGTTTTTTTTTTTAAATCAACTGTAAAATACTTGACCAAAATTTTAGAGAGGTAGATCCTATATCAACGACATTTCAGGAAAATTTTATTTTATGCCAAATTGTATTTTAATTAAAAAAATATATAATTGTATTGTATTGTATTGTAAAATATCAACCAAATTACAGGATATTTCAGTTAAAGTTTATTAATTTTTTCAATTGGACTGCAAATAACAGAGTTGCAGATGATTTTTAAATAGAAATTTTCAATTTTTCATATTCAATATTCAGTAACAGCATTTTGTAAATAAAGACCTTTTACAATTGGAAATAAAAAAAATTTAAAAAATCCATGGAAATTTGAGGTTATCCAGATTTTCCAGACTGACTGAAAATAATCTACGTTTGGACACAAGATTTTTTTTGGCCCGCTTCGTATAATTTATATAAGTATTGCCTGATTGACGTAAAATTTTACTTTTATGTAAAGAATAATATGTCTTGTTAATTTCGATTCCATAATCTAAGGTACATTTTCATACCATACACCTCCTAACACCTTTTATTTCCAAGTTATCTGGCAATGAAGCACCTGTCAGAAACAATTTTTTTCGCAATTTCGCGACTAGCTGGTGCGTGGGTACATCCCATTCATACCAATTATTAATTATACTTATTCATTCTTTAAGTATCGTTAGAGATAATAAAAAAAATCAATAGGACGTGATTACGGCTGCTATTCATTTATACTTTCATTAAAATCGGGGGACAGAGCGACCTGTGGAAATAATTATTATTATTCCCGTGACAGAATTTATTTTTCGTGACGGAAAAACTCGACCTTCATCATTTTAATCTGGCAAAAAAATATGCGTTTTCAGTAGGAATAATGAAGTTCATATTGAAATGGACAGATATTTAAAAAACTTTGATTAGGGCGATTCTCAGAAAGTGTACAAAAAACTGAGGAAGAGAAAAAAATTAATTATTTTAGACTTACTTATTTCTTGGTTACGTAATAAGTCACTACGATTTTTGATAAATGTTTATAATTAAAATAATATTCGGTGACGCAGATATATCACATTTCTAACCTGTTTCAACATGTAACTTTCACATCAGTGAAAAAAATTCGAAATGTATGCCCTTGCACGGTGTCCCATTTTATACAGGATATACCAAAAGTACCGGAACGGCAGAATAACTCGGCGGGAGAGCATTTTAAAGAAAAATGTAACACATTTTTTTCTCTTAGAAATACCATCCCAGATTAAATATAATGCAAATTTACAAGATATTCAGTGTCGTAGAAATTCTAGGGTTCTTAATGACGGTGTTTCTCAGTTTTTCCGCCACTGATTGACAGATTTGTGTAGAATCCAACAATTTTAACCTCAGTTTCATCAATCTATGTCAAGCATCTTCAGAGATTTCTAAATAAATGTCATATTTTTGTTTCAAATTTCAATCTACCATTAAAGTTTGGCAGAGTATATCCTTAAAACTTCGTCCTCTAAATTAATTTGATCTGTACCACGAGGTAAACACATGTACAGAGTGTTTTTAAGTACACTAGTCAATATCGTATAGTTTACCTACATACAAAAGACATCTTTGATTTCTACAATACTAAAGTGTCTATTTCAGAAGAAATTGTGCGACTATTACCGTTCCCTTTGCGGGGCCAAAAGGCCCAGCTTAGCGGCCTATCTAGCGGGCGTGCCCGCCCCCAAAGCCTACGCGGAGAAATTCTACATGCTCAGCGACGGCAAAATCTATCTCACGGCCTCCTTGGACAAAGCCATCTATTCGCACGGCGAGGAGATTAACGTCAACGTCCAGATCGAGAACAACAGCAACAAGACCATCAAAAGGATAAAGGTGAGATGTGTTTTTTTAAATAATTAGTGAAATGTTTTCCGTTCAATGAAATAGATACAGAAAAAAAACGGCAAAGCAAATGTCTTTAAATACAAACTACAGTCAGCTGTACTAGGTACAAACGAATAAAAAAGATTTTTCATTCGTTTGAAAACAAAATTTATGATGGTTTGAAGTTACCTAAACTCGGGGTAAATTTTCACCACCCTGTAAAGGCTCTTTGAAATTATGAATGTGAAGTCCCTAGCTATTTGTCTTAATTAAAATATTAATTTGAAGTCTGTGCTCCATCGTTAAACGCGCAATGTGTGCTGACATCACTAGATTTCTTAGTAATCTCAGATGTATATTTTCACATTTGTACATATCTGCCTCTGATATGAAGCTTCGCATCGATCAATTTATTCGATACGTATCTAGTGGTACTCTAATGCCTGCCCTGTCGACCTGGCGTGCTGGCGAACAGTCTCCGTTTTTTTACTGAGGGAAATTAGCAGTGCATTTCATTGTCGTTTGTGCCTGTGTGAGTGACTTTGACGGTTTACTTGGTCGAGTGTATGTAACGTGTTTTTATGGCAGTCAGTAGCATTGTGTATCGTGAGCATAGAGCGTCACGGCTTGACCACAAATTTAGCCTACTTTTGCTACTACAACGCGTATTGTTTTTTACTGGCATAATATGGATTACTACTGTTTATTTACTTGATTGTTGCTACAATATTTCCGACGTCTACATATTACATATGGTGATGAAATGACAAGTTAAAATATTGTGTTTTTTCGTAGTTTAGCCTTATTTTCTCACTGTTGAAAAAGGACTAAATATTGTTCACACTAGATTACGCGATTTTTGTTAAATATGAAAATAACTACAAAAATCCAAAGCTTAGCCCTAACTTAATCACTTTTATAATATTTCTGATAAAATGTTGATCCGCCTAGATACTATTTCTTATAAGAAAGAACAAATATTAAGTAATAATGTCATTTTCAGATTCAATCACATTTTTAACATAAATATCTCACGTTTCCGCAATAAATGTCAAATTCACAACACCTTTATTAACCAACACCCTCTAAAATCAAAATCAACACTGAAACCTCAAACATGACAACTTAAAATGTTACATCTCCGAATTTACCCTTACAGGAACTTTACCACTCCCGACATTTCCCTATCTCATTGATGCCTCCATTAGGTTATAGACCAGTAGTAGATATCCCCTTTACGATTGGGAAACTGTCTAATGACCCTAATATAGCCGCTAATGGCGCGTATATACTTTATAATTGCACAGGACGATCGTCGCAGACTCTACGTGGGCATGCCAGTATGTAAACGTTTTAATTCAAGCAATCCGATTAGTGAGAGTGCTCTAATCTAATGAAAACGAATACTTTTGTGGGTATAGTTAATCCCAATGGTCCAACAGGTTACAGAGTGGTTCGAAGTCTGTGGGAATGTTTAATTATACCTTAAGTGAGTAACTGGTTTCCAATATACAGTGTGTTCGTATATCTATTGGTTATTTTTCTACACGCTGAAAAAAAAGTAAAGTAAAATTTTGTGATGCTCGTTCAGGATGCCATAAAATCAAAAACAGTTGGCTGGAGTAACAAGAAAAATTTTTTAACACGATGGATTAACGGTTTCCTATAGTAAAAAAGTTAAATATAAAAACTACAAATAATTAGGTTCTATTTATTATTTACTAACCAACATATATTTTTTCTTCCACTACTTTTTTGAGTGACATAAAATACAGGGTGTTTCTGAAATAAGTGCGTTCCTTGAAAAGGGTGATAGAGGACACGAAAATAAGCAACTTATATTAATAAAAAAAAATTACATGAAGGTTTAGACAAATTTAAAACTGTCCATGGTGCAGCAGCCAGCTGTCCTTCCGACATCGAATTTGCCGCGCGTTGCAGTGCGAAAGGGCTGATGGCGATTTTGACGGTTTAGATTTTGTGTTCGAATATGCTGAATTTATTCAAATCTCGTTTAAAAGTACCACAAAAATTAAACGAACAAACGAATTACTTACCAATAGGCGATATGCTCTACAAAAATTATTCAAAGTAGTTTGCTAATAGACATGCTTTCAAACGACGGTCAAAATTAGTCCGCATACGTGCAAATACTCCCGGCATTTGTCGAATCCAAAGTATGCTGGCCGTGCACCTGCACAAGATGCACAGGGTCAGCCTACATTTATGGTTAATTTTCTCGAAAACAGAAGTATTTAGACCATCGGTAGCTTAATAAAAGTTGCTCATATTCGTACCCTCTATCGCCATTTTCAAGGAACGCACTTATTTCATAAACACCCTGTATAACGCGGTGTTATTTTGTGTTAAATAAATTATTTTTGATTTATGACATCCCAGATACGCACAACAAAGTTCTATATTTCATTTTCTTTTTAAGGTTTTGGCGGGAAGAAAAAATAACCAATCAATCGATATTTTTTCTTATTTGATGCGAGAATGTAGTATTTTCCTAAGGTGCGCAGTGTTCTGTTTTTGATTTCATAGCATCCTAGATGTGCGCATCCAAGTAATACGTATTATGCATTTTTTTTAGATGGGTACGAGGAAAGATAATCAGTAGACGTATTTTTCGGAGACAGACGTGGAATAATGCTACGGTGTTATTTTCTCAACAAAAAACCCTTACATGTTTTTTTTTTAAATTATATAAAAAATCATAGCAGGTCCGGCGTTCGTGGCAATGAGAAACCAGTAATTGCCAGATGACCTTTCAGGCCCTACCCACAAAAAATAGTCCCACTTGATTCCACCAGCCTACTTATATTTAGGGGTTACTAACACGAAAAATCAGGCATACTGGTATGAACAATTTTTTTTGAAAATTAACTTCTGTTAACATGATTAAAAAAAATTCGAATTTCGCAACAACAAAAGATAGTAGGTACGATGAAGCTGAAACTACCCGTCACACAGAACCCGCCAAACAGTGCCGTATATGCGGTGGGGCTCCAAAATGTGTTTTCATTATACGAAGCTTAAAAGCGCGTAATTAAATATAAAATAATCAAAATGTATCGAAAATAGTACTTTCCCGCCGAAATCAAACGGAAAGAGCATTAAATAATAAACAATTATAGTCGCAAGGGAAACTTGCTGGAGATATTCTTCTTACATTTAGAAAGTCATCTACTCTAAGGACTTCCTTGCACAAAAGTTATAAATAAACAAATTCGCGCCTTAGTTGTATAATAGTGCAATTATACGCGTTTCGCTACTTCAATTCTATGAAGCTTTTTTAAAATTACGATTGGCCAACGAAACTTGCAGAGATTCTTCTTCTTACATCTAAGAGGTGATTTGCCAATCATAATTTTAAAAAAGTTTCATGTAATTGAAGTAGTGAAACCCGTATATGCGGGCTATTTTGCAATTAACGGCCGAATTTGTTTTTGTGTCGCGACTTCCTCACTTCGGATCACTTCATAGATGTAAGAAAAACAATCCCTGCAATTTTCACAGGTGAAAAGTTATAAAGTTGCTTCCTTGCTATTGTCGACTATAATAATTGTTTATCTAATGCCCGTTCGGTTTGATTTCGCGAGGAAAGTACTATTTTCAATACGTTTTGATTATTTTATACTGAATTATGCGGTTTTAAGCTTCATATAATGAAAAAATAATAATTTGGGGCCCCACCGCATATACGGCACTGTTTGGCGCGTTCTGTGTGGCGGGTAGCTTCAGCTTCATGTGCATACGTACTACTAATAAACAAATAATGGCAATCAGAATATTTAACTTTCTATGACAAAAGATAAAAAGCACGAAATTTGAATTTTTCTCGAATTTCTCAAAAAATGTAACAAAAGAGATGTAACAAAATTATAAAGAAATACCTTTACCTTGGGACATACGAAAACCGAACATAATATAAGAGATACCGATCACATTAAATTAATCGCGGTTCGTTGGTCGGCCAGCAGGTGAATAATTGAGGGGGAATAATTCATAACAACTGATAAATTACGTCGGGGACGGCCATCAAAGCCATTTGTATGTATATTCGCTAAATTTACCGTTTCCATGCAGTGAGCGTGGTTAATTGCAGAATACTAATGTTGCATTCACAATATTTACAATTTTCGGGCAAACATGTGTACCTGACGGAGCATCAGCATGTATATGCTACAAAAAAAAAGATACAACATCGCAATTCGCTGTAGTGTTGCACAGAATGGAAATAGTAATAGGTTTTACAGCGAATTATTGCAATTTTATAGGCTTGTGCGGCGTAAAAGAGTTCTGTTTTGCCTCTATGTATTTATACATACGAGGCTTGATCAAAAAGTAACGGAAATGTTCAAGTTGAGCGTGTTGCATCTTGTCTATCGAGTTTAGTTTTTTGTGCATTGGTAGCACTGTCAGTGACGTCAATTTATAGACGGCTGCCACGCTCAGTTTGTGTTTAGCGAGCGAATGAGTGGCGAAGTGTCGGATCAGAGTTTATGATATTTTGTGTTAAAGATTAAGATTTTTGAGGTTGCCCCCCTCCCTTGGGGGGCAGAGTATGTAACAAAAAATTTATGTTTATCGGAAAAATAATTTTCCCGAGAGTTATTCGCTCTGTTTCATATTCAAGAGCCCACCATATACCGGGTGTCCCAGACCACCCGTCCACCTCTTCTAAAATCCAAAGTATGTACTTTGTGGTTATGTGAAAAATGGTTCAGATGAAAGTTACTAGTCTCCAAGGGGCACATATTGTCGTGACCTTGTCTGTGACCATGAAGGTAATTCTCAAGTTCATTTCAAGGTCAATTTAGTTTTTTTTAATGGAAAGCCTTATTTTCAACCCCGGATTCGGAAAGAGCGGAAAATTCTACGTTCATCTGATGTATCATGTGTGGGGTCCATTTGATCCCCCAAGGTCCATGAAGGTCAATTTTTTTTACCGAATCTTTCCACTCAAATGACCCCGCAAAGGTAAGGTTTAGCGAAACCCTCAT